GAGCGCCCCCTGCCCCCCTGGCGTCTGTCTAGGCGAACCGCATCGCTAGTCCGTTTACGTCGTCTACAGTCAAACGCTGCCGCGTGGTTCTGGTTGTAGAGTGATGGCGCCCCGAAACTGCTCGCGCGGTTTTGGTCGGACTTTGGCGATGCTCAAAGAATGCTCGCGCGGTTTTGGCAGCGTTGTGGAGGAGTTCGCAGAGGGCCGAGCATCCCGGAAGCATCATCAACGCGCCCCAGAACCGTGCGAGCATTTTTTGGAGCACCGCCAGAATTCAACCGAAACCGAAGAGCATGTTTGGGAGCATCGTCAAAATTCAACCGAAACAAGAGCATGTTTTTGAGCATCGTCAGAATTCAACCGAAACCGAAGAGCATGTTTTGGAGCATCGTCAAAATTCAACCGAAACCGAAGGGCATTTTTTGGAGCATCGTCAAAATTCAACCGACACCGAGAAGCATTTTTTTGAGCGCCGTCAAACTTCAACCGAAACCGAAGAGCATTTTTTGGAGCATCGTCAGAATTCAACCGAAACCGAAGAGCATTTTTTTGAGCACCGTCAAAATTCAACCGAAACCGAAGAGCATGTTTTGGAGCATCGTCAGAATTCAACCGAAACCGAAGAGCACGTTTTGGAGCATCGTCAAAATTCAACCGAAACCGAAGAGCATTTTTGGGAGCACCGTCAAAATTCAACCGAAACCGAAGAGCATGTTTTGGAGCATCGTCAAAATTCAACCGACACCGAAGAGCATTTTTTGGAACTCAAAATTTCAACCGAAACCGAAGAGCATGTTTGGAGCATCTGCCTCAAAAAACCGAAGAGCATTTTTGGAGCATCTGCCTCAAAAAACCGAAGAGCATTTTTGGATCATAGATAATGTTTTCAGCATTTCCCAGATATGAGCTGAGCGGTGCATCGCAAGACGAGGTGGCGTGGCAGGTCCCTGCTCCGCTCTCGCCCATTGCCTTGTCCTCGTCGATTCCGTTCCCCTCCCGTGATGCGGCCTCAGCGCAGTCATATTCGGTCAGCGCCTCGAGTGCGCCGTCGCCTGTGCATGTATGTTCGGATACGAAGGATTGCAAAAAAAACCCGGATTGCAAAAAAAACCCGGATGAACGAAGGATCGCAAAAAAAACCCGAAGGATTGCAAAAAAACCCTTGAACGAAGGATTGCAAAAAAACCCAATCCTTCGATCCGGGTTTTTTTTGCAATCCTGTGCCCGCCAGCCCGTCATTGCCTCAATCCCCGTGTGTTGCAACGCCAGCAGGCTCAGTTTGTCGACGGCTCCGAGGCCAGACGTCAGTGGTCAGCAACCTCGACGCCCGCCTGTCCGCTCCGCTTTGCATATGTATCTCGCCGTCGGGCCGAATAGTCTCCACCCGCCCGCTCCCTCGGTGCACACTCGGAAGCCGGGCGAGGGCTGCTAAATCCGTGGCTGCTAAAATCGACCTCCGGGAAGTTGTCTTCGTCTTTCCGGGACGAAGTCCGTTGACTGTTTCGCGTGCCGCGCCTTATTCCGGGAGGTTGTTTTTTCCTTCCGGGAGGGCCGTTTTAGCAGCCACGGTTTTAGCAGCTCTCGCCCAGCTTCCCACACACATGTCCTTTCTGACCGCATTTCTGCACCGCCACCTCTCCCCCTCGGCCCTTCGCCTCTGAGTGCTGCTGTTGCGGTTGCTGCTTCTCCCCCGCTTCTCACCCCGCCTTAGTCTGTGTTCCTTCCGTTGGAGCGGAAGGCGGCGGGTCCTTGATCGCTCTGCCCAGTTGGTCTTTGGCCGCATCTGGAGGGCCCGCCATGGGGGCGCTGGCTCAGGGTGCGAGATGGGCCCACACCTGGGGCAGTTCAGGGGCCGTCCAGGCGTCCGCCCTCAGGGGTAGGTACACCTGGGGTTTCCTGGCTGTCGCCCTGGCGTCGCCTTATCGTTTTCTGTTTAAGGCCCGATGGGGGGACCCCAGGGCTTTTTTTTCAGTTTGCATACCCCACATCTGGGGCGAGGCCAGACGTCGTCCTGGCGCTCTCTGCACCAGGGGCGTCAGGCCTCGTAGTCCTTGTATGGGCGGTCGTTGTTCAGTGTTGCCGAGTATTTTATTCATGCATACCCCGCATCTGGGGCGAGGCTTGCGGTCGTCCTGGCGCTCGCTGCACCAGGGATTGCGAGTCTCGTCGTCCTTGTGTGGACGGTCGCTTTTTCTTTCCAACTTCCTCGTGCTCATGCGCGTCCGTTGTGCGTGCGCACTCGTGGACGCTCGGCACGCGTGTCAGGCACCCCGCTCGGGGGGAAGGCGCATGGCACGCACGTCTGTGGTGATTTCCATCCGAGCACGGGGGCTGTCATTGGACGGCCCCGACCGTGGCTCGTGTCGCGGCGTCGCAGGGGCCAGACTGCCTGGGCCTGCCCCCCCTCTCTTCGCGCGGATCTTACACTTACAGGTTTTTTGTTACGTGCAGCCGTGGCCCGCTGGAGGGTTACCCGAGTTGCTGTGTTTTGTCGTGTGTC